GCATAGATAGAACCAAATTTTCTGTTTCCGATGGCACAATTTTCGACCATCCCTTTTTCAGAGCTTCTTTCAACGATTTTTTGCTAGTTGAAGACGCATTATCAATTTTCCGTGCCAATAGCTCCCAAATATGCTCTCGGGTTCAAGTCGAGTGATTGTGGCGGACTATAGAGTTGACGAGGCTATTCCTTCACCAAACCCGCGGCATGCTTAGGTTCATTGTCTTGTTGGAATATTCAAGAGCTTCCGAGGCTTAAGAAATCCACCGAAGACTGCATATGTTGTTCCAAAATACTTTTGTAAACATATTTGTTCATTATACCATCGATAAACGTTAAATGTCCTACGCCAGCTGCTCCAATCGCTTCCCAAAACCATGACGCTACCTCCACCATGCTTAACGGTTGCTATTAAATTTTGGGTTTGATATGCTATTCCTGTTTTACGCCAAATTTTTGTACGAGCATCACTTCCCAACACGTTGAACTTGGATTCGCCAGTAAACAGGACTCTTCTCCAAAAAGATTCATCCATATCCTTGTATTTTTTTGCAAATTCAAGACAAAGTTGGTTATTTTTCTCAGATATGAGAGGATTTTTTCTTGGAACTCTGCTATGATAGCTATTTTCCCGTAAGTCTTTTGCTGCAGTTTTTGGGTGTACAGTTTTACCAGAAGCTGCAGCGATGCTATCGGCTATCTTTGGAGCACTTATATTGGGATTTTTTGTCACTTCTTTGATGAATAAACTTACATCTCGCCGAGTAAGCTTTGTTGGACGCTTAGCCTATTTCCACGGATTTGCGTTTTATACATTCGAATAACATTTTGCACACTTGCACAAGAAAGATTAAGGATTTTCCCTATATCTCGGTAAGATTTTCCATCTTGAAAATGTTTAATTATTAAATATTTAGCGCCACTCTCTATTTGTTTTCTTTTACCCATTTTTTTTTTTGTTATACGTCCACTGTTAGAGAAGAAATCACTTCTAATACCGAATAAAAATGTATATGTTGCTAAATCATCAAATATAACGGCTCTTTTTTTCTTAAGAATTTGTAAAATATGTGCCATGCGTATTTTTCAGTGGTTGTATTTAAACTTTTGTCCCGTGTAAGTTTATGTGTCTGATGAATTAACCGTTATCTAAGCCACATTAAATGTTTTTTTTGGTTTCAATGTTAGTAAATAATTTACTAAAAAAAAAATGCATGCTTACATTTGAGTTAAAATACTTTTTTTGCGCAAAAAGCGAAATTTTGTTGGTGTATTTAAACGTTTGTCTCTGGCTGTATTAATTAAGTTATGGCATTTCATAAGTTTTTGATAAATAAAGTTTTGTGGGCGTTGCAGTGGCCCGATTACACCCATTTACGAACTCGTCCTAACTTTCTCCCAAGGAACACGTGTACCAAGTTTCATTGCGATATCTCATATTTTACTCAAGTTACAGCTTGCACAGACAGACAGCCGGACGGACGAATGGACAGTCACTTGGAATTCAACTCATCTTGTCATCCTAATCATTTATATATATGTATGGGGTTTTCCAACAAGAGTGACATAATTTTATTTCAAAAAAGCCACATTATTGTTAAGGAAGTTCAAATGTTTAATTGAATGTGAAGTACAATCAATGCAATTAAGTTCTGAATATAACATCGTTCAAATGGCCTCCACGACTTCATTTACAGGAACGAATTCGATGAACGCATTTTCGAGTACTTTTTTCACTAAATCAAGTCGTATGTCGGGTTTAATATTGACTTCTAAAGCTTGAAGAGAGTCTGGTTTTTGGCTTAAGGTCCATGACTTCAAATAACCCCATAAGAAGTAGTCTAATGGTGTTAAAACACAACTTCTTGGAGGCCATTCAATGTCTCAATTTCTTGAAATAATCGAATCTCCAAACTTTACTCGCAATAATTCGGTTGTTGCACGTGCTGTGTGGCCCGTAACCCCATGTCGTTGGAACCAGATGTTGTCAAGATCAACTTCTTCCGATTGCGGCCATAAAAAGTTGGTTATCATCGATATAAAAGTATACCGCTCTCCATTGAAAGTAATGGTGTCAGCAGCTTCATTTCGAAAGCAGTACGGACCGATGATTCTACCAGACCATAAACCACACTACACATTCAATTAAGGTGAATGTAATGGTTGTTAATAAATAATTTGTGGATTTTTTCGCACCAGAATTGACAGTTTTACCGCACCACTCAGATGAAAGTGAGCCTCATCGGAGAAGAAAATTTTCTTAAAAAAATCGTATTCAAATTGTTCCAAAGCAAAATCAGCAAATTCACGACGTTTTCGGTGGTCCAATGGCTTGAGGTCTTGAGAAGAACAATTTTATACGGATGCAAGCCCAATTCCTTTCTCAAAATTCGCCTGGTTGTGGTTTGAGACAGTCCCAATTCTAGAGAACGCCTTGGAATCGACAAATTGCAACCTTCTGCAACACTTGCCTGAAAGGCAGCAATATTTTCAATACTTCGAGCGAATCTTTGTCTAATTGGCACTTGAGCATTATGTAAATAAAATGTACGCTCAAAACTTTCAACATTTCGATGAATAGCGAGCACAGGTGAACGATTATTACAACCATAAAACATCAAAAGCGCACGAAAAGTTGCAATTGGAGAACGATTATTTTGATAACCAAATTGAATACTTTGTAGACGTTGTTCTTGCGTATATCTTTCCATAATAAAATTGTAAACATTAACGAATACAATGAAAAACAAGTAAGGAAGGGCTAAGTTCGGATGTAACCGAACATTTTATACTCTCGCAAAGTCAAATGGTATACTCGTTTGAGATTTCTTTGTGGATTGACTGATATTTTCGGTAGATGGTCAACTATAGGCACTGGGGTCCACATATTTAGTACTTAGGGGTTTGAACAGTTTTGGTTCGATTTAGACAATTTTTGGCATCAAGGTGGCATACTTTAATTGCATTATTCACGCAAAGTTTTACCCCGATATAATCATTGTTACCTGATTTGCATAGTGGAAAGTGAAAGAATCAGATGGAATTGAAAATGGTGTTACGTGGGAAGTAAGCGTGGTTGTAGACCGATTTCGCCCATTTTCGCACTATGAAGAACGTTATGCACCGAATTTGGTTGAAATCGGTTGAGCAGATCTCAAGATATGGGTTTTCACCTAAAAGTGGGCTGTGACACGCCCACTTACTAATTTTGAACGCGGTTCCTATAAAGCCAATTTGTACCATCTCAGAGATAAAATTTAATGTCTCTGGCGTGTTTAGTGCTTGATTAATCGCGCTTTTAGTAGTTTTTAACAGTACCGTTATATGGGGAGTGGGCGGAGCTGCCACCCGATTTCAACTATTTTCACACCGTCAATAGAAATGCTAAAAACATTTGCTTCTAGTGAATTTTGTTATTATAGCATTAGCGGTTCAAGAGATATGCACATTAAACCTATTAGAGGCAGGACCACGCCCACTTTTTAAAAAAAAGTTCTAACTGCAGATGCCCCTCCCTAATGTGATCCTGTGTACCAAATAACAGTCTTGTATCTTATTGCGGAGCTTAGTTATGACAAGTTATTTGTTTTTGGTTAATGGCGTTTTGTGGGCGTGGCAGTGGTCCGATTACGCCCATCTGCAATACCAACCGTCTCACGGTACCAAGAAACATGTCTAAAAAGTTTCATAAGGATATCTCAATTTTTACTCAAGTTAGAGCTTGCACGGACGGACGGACGGACAGACAGTCACCCGGATTTCAACTCGTCTCTTCATCCTGATCATTTATATATACATAACCCTATATCTAACTCGATTAGTTTTAGGTGATACAAACAACCGTTAGGTGAACAAAACTATTATACTCTGTAGCAACAGGTTGCGAGAGTATAAAAATTACAGATCATGAAATATTAAAAATGGCCGAAAGAACACTTAGAAATCATATCACCCCTATTGGAAAACCCAATATGTATATAAACCTATATCTATCTCGATTAGTTTTAGGTGATACAAACAAACGTCAGGTGAACAAAACTATTATACTCTATAACAACAGGCGTGTTTAGAGTCCGATTTTGCCCATTTTCGCACTGTAACATAGGAATATGCAGATAATGTCACCTACGGTTGGTTTAAATTGGTTGGATAGGTCCGGATATATGTTATTTCACCTAAAGTTGGGCGGTACCACGCCCATTTTATAATTTTGACACGAGCTGCTATAAAGCCTTCCTGTATCATCACGGATGTAAAATTGAATGCCTCTGATGATTTGAGTTATTTGTTTATTGCACTTTTAGTAGTTTTTAACAAAACCGTTATATGGGGAGTTGGCGAGGTTATCAAGGGATTTCGCCCATTTCCACAATGTCGTAAGAAGTGCCAAAAATATTTGTCTTGTTCAAATTTGGGAAATAATGCTTAAATGTCTTGATAGATATACCCATTAAACCTGTTAGTTGGCGGGACCGCGCCCACTCTTCATGAATTTTCATACCACATTTCTCCCTCATTAATGCGATCAAATTACAGTTTGTGTCTTAATTTGCAGCTTAGTTATGGCAATTTACGGGTTTTCGATGAATGGCGGTTTGTGGGCGTGATAATGGTTTGTATACGCCCATATACTATATCTTTTTCTAGATTTGACCACGAAACACGTCTACAAAGTTGCATGAGGATATCTCAATTTTTACTCAACTTACAGCTTGCAGACAGTTAACCTGATTTCAACTCGTCTCGTAATTCTGATCATTTGTATATACATAACTCTGTATCTATATTGATTAGTTTTAGATTATACAAACAACCGTTAGGTGAACAAAAATATTATACTCTGTAGCAACATATTGCAATAGTAGAAAAACAAATAATATATATATTATTTTCTTTTTTATACGTTTAACATTTTAATTAAACTTTATATATTTAAAGCTAATATTTGCTAATAAAATTTTTTTTGCTTAACAAATTCACACGCTAACGTTTTAACTTCAGCTGATTATAGTTTAAATAAAAACAATGTTTTACTAAAGTCGGATGAACGTTCCAATCGTAAAAAAAATGTCATACAATATAATGATAAGAAAAAGTCAAAACTCAAAAACAAGGATAATGTTGCTATAAAAGCATACGATATTGAGAGGCCTGTGAATGCGCGTTTTGCTGAGATTCACTTAAAGTCTTTTAGAAGTGATAATACTATACCATGGTATATCAACGACGTCTTCTTTGAACAATTTTGGCATTGCGAAGATAGTAATAAAAAAAGTACAAACGACATGGAGTCAATATTTGGAAGCCGACAGAAAAGTAGTATATTACTAGCTAATCAAGTAATTGGAGATGATTGTGAAGAAACTGCTGTTTCAGATGAACGTATTTTTGAAAAAGATTCTTTAGAGACCTATTCATCGAAAGAGACCGACTTAGACGAAGACTCATTAGAAATAAATTCATTAATAGAACATAAATCTTCAGAGATACTGAAGAACAACGCAGAAGAAAGGATGGCTACATATCTTTATGGAGTTCATATTCCACCCAAAAATGTTATTCAAACACCGACACCTTATAAGAAGTCAACTGCTTTTATCATTCCATTTGGTCCAGACAAGCCTAATTATTTTTGTAGCAACACCAATAGTGAAGATAATTTCTTGAACAATTCTAATTATACACAATCTCCCAAACAGTTATTCGAAAACATTGAAAAGTTAAACACTCACAATGTAATTAAAAACGATAGAAAACACTCAACTCAATCAACTGAAAAAGATGAAGCTAAAGATTTGCACTCATTTTATAAACCTATGCCGACACTACAGGATATCGTACGCTTGTATTTGTCCAACACGAATAAACCAACAATTTCGTATAAATCAAATTCGGCCAAAAAGAGACAAACTGATTTACTTACATCTGAGATAAGATTACATCAAGAAATGCATATTCAAGATGGCGTATACGAAAAGCCCATAATCGAAAAATATATTGGCAACGCACTGCATACAATTCTTAATGAGGGTGTCATTAATGAGCAGAAAGGTAATAATCGTGAAATTTACTTTTCATCTGAAAATTTGAGCGATATACAAGTATTTGAAACCTCTAAAGCTACCTGCCCATATCCTTCTGCCACTACAGGCACAGAACTTCAACTTCAGAATATATTATATAAGAGTTAAAGCCCCGCAATTTGTTTTATAGCTGACGACAAATAGACAGTAGGGAATCTTGTAATAGCGTATCTGATATTAAGTTCTTTATTAAAATGATAAACCTATTTCAGATGAGAGATATGACTGAAGACTATAGGGTTTCTAAAAGGAAGGAACAACCACTTTAATGTACAATAGTTTAGATATTAAAATCGTTCACAGGTCTATAAAATATCGATGAGGTTCTAAAAGAAAATACCATACATGCAAATTTAAAAAAAAAAATTAAAAAATTCGGCTTCAAGAAAGTGATACAATTTATGGGTAATCACTGTCATTCAAAGGATATATCGACATCATTCTCATAGAAACCTTAAAAACTCGAAACCGAAAATTAAAAAAATATGATTTGGATATAGAACAAATATTAAATAAAAATGCTTCTTGCTTTCATATAGGAAATTGCAATCCTTGTGATGGATCTCATCCTACAAAAAATAGCAAAATAAAATGGTTCGTGGGAACAGAACCAATTGAAACATCGGTGGAGTTATATCAGGATAATACACCTACAGATTTTAATGGTTTTGTTAACAACCAATCTATTTCCACTAATATCACAGTCGAAGGTGAAGTACCTACATATATAAAAACATACAATAACTGAAATTTAAATTAAATTTAATCTATTTGACTCCACAGTATCACAAATAGAAGTTTACCAAAATTCTAATCACGGTTTTAGAGAAGTGAATCGGAATACAGGTAAGAGATATATTATTATTAACAAGCATTTATTAACTGTACTAAGTGTCTTAGTCTTAAGAACGCAATATCAACCTCCATGGTGTTATTTAAATTTGTAACATTTCGCAAGAGAAATTTATTATGAAGTAGTTCATTTTCGTAGACAGCTACTGTTAATTTCTGCCGAATCAGAGTCGTAGTTTGTTGTGACCGCTTTTGAACACGGGTTAATTTAGGTCATTGGGCCGATCCTCACACGAAAGTTAACAAAAAACCCCACTTGGACAGCTGTAAATTCCGGTCTTTATACTCCTAGAAGTTGATGACTAGACCCTTATAGATCGATGAAACGCTTTCAATCTATTATAAATTTGTTAAAACGGCTAATTTCAATTCCAGAAAACTTCGCCAAATTCGACGAAAATGTGACGACCAGTAGGGCAATAGCTGGATAGTTCAAAAGACAGGGTCTAAATGATATCACCTCGCCTTCTTCCATACAGCTTTAGAAATTTGCATCCGACAAGATATGTAACCTCAGATCAAATTAGACTGTGGAACAGTGTCAAATCAAAACCTCATGGTCCACCATGGTCTTCTTGCGAAATCGTTCCTTCTCTAGCAAGGTCGTCCGATTTTCAGTTTCCAGCGAATACGCTGTGACCCAAAACTCAAATAAGTATTGTCTTGGGACACTGCCAGCGAGTTCGGAGCCAATATTACAGCTCTGCTATCAGAGTGAATGCACACATCTGTGAATAAGTTGCACTTTGGAGCATTAATCGACTGATACCTTGATGGCCTCCGCTTTAGAGACACTGCAGCGGTCTGGTAGCCTTAACTAGAGTTTATGGAGAGCTTTCGACAGAAGACTTCCCCTCCTATCGTTTCACTAATATATGATCCATCCATAAGCTAACTGCACCTCTTTTCCAGGGGCTTCGCACCGCCCATGTATATCCCTCGGAGGTATATGCAATCGAAGTAGCGAATTATTTCAGAATGTCGTTGCTTGGGACCACTCATATAACCAGTTTCCCTGAGTCTTATAGCAGCCTTTATAATTTGAGAATTTTAGTTTGCTTGTAATTTTGTTCCTTTCTTCAATCAAACAAATTTTGAAAGTAGCTTCTAACCCACACATCGCAATGGTTTAAAACATCCATCTTTAATAGTGCTGACTAAACGTATCTTTATAATAATAATAACCCAACGATTAACCTCCTTCCGCCCAACCGACGCGAATGGCGCTATCCTCATACGTGCGGAATTAGCCGAGTCACAAAAGGCAAGAGAGTTTTTTAAGTATTGAGATCTAAAACTGCTTAGCTACAGAAACAATAATTTCAAAAACTAAGATTTATAGTTACGATATAATAAATTGTTACATTTTCCTTTATTAAGAGAAAACAATAAAGTCTTTTTAATTTTGAAAACTGAGTCAGATAAGTCAAATGTGCTAGAATGAGAATTAACATCATGACATATACGGCAAATCGTTCGTTTAGTTCGAAATTTGATCTACAGAATTTTAACAGTAAAAGTCTAAAAAAAGTTAAATTTAATTTCAGACAGGAGAAAAAGCTGCAAATAGTTTCACCAAATACCAACGTTTAACAAAACTGAGGACAGCTTTTGCTTTCAAGGCCATGGTATCAATATGAAGACTAAAATTAAGCTTAGGGTCCATATTAACTCCCAAATCAACATAGTTAAAAACTTGCTCCAGAATATGGTGTTTTATTACATAAGAAGAGGGTGCACAGATCTAGGGGAAAAGCACGTCGTCTTACATTTATTGAGATTCAATGGCAAATAATTTCTATCACACCATGCAACCAAATTGTTTGAGTCTGTTTGCAACAGACACTTTCCTCAGTTGAAGTGTATGTAACAAGAACAAAATTGGGCCAAGATGACTACCTTGCGGAACTCCTGAAGAGACATTAATTGTAATTGAAAGAGTATCCTCAAATATCACTCGTTGTGTTCTTTTATAAAGATCAAAAGCTACCCATTGAAGAAATCTTGGCTGAAAACCCAGCAGATCAAGTTTATGTATGAGAATCGAGAAATTTACTTTTTCCAAAGTGGCTAGATGAGTTACGCCTCCCCCCTTCATACACGCCACTGAGCGCCAACACACCACATCAACACGATCCACAAGAAGACTCCACCCAATAACACACACAAAAACACACCACCCCTGCAGACATCACACCACTCAGACTACCCACACATACACATCACATCACACCACAACTCTACACAACCCAACACTCAAAAGGGACTTTTTCTTTCGCAAATCGAGCCATCGAGAGGTCGCAATTTTCCGCCCGTATTTTTATAAGCCTTCGTACCGGCCGTATCCGTGATTTAATATATTGGTGATTTAAAGTGCAAAAAGGTGAGTGCGTTATTGAAACCAATATACATGGTCCTTCGAGCCATAGTGAGCAGCATTATGGAGTAAAAAAAAGAGTTATTTTCAACGGAAAAAAAAGAAAAGTGCTGTAAAGTGTCTAACATTTAATATAGACACACAAACGAAAAAAACCAGATACAAAGATATAAGTGCTGTACAGTGGAATAACACATATGTATATACACATACAACAAAAAACATAAAAAAAAGAGTTGTTTTCAACGGAAAACAAAAAAAAAACAGAAGAAAGTGAGTGAAGTGTGGAGTGACACAAACACATAAAAGAAGGAAGAAAAAGCCAATAACGTGCGCGCAATAATCCCTAATTACATACGGGCAGAGAATGTTGAAGAATAGAGAAGGAGCAAATGTTAACTGAAAACTTTTTGAGTACTAATTTGTAGTTCCAGATGAGGGAACATCGAAAAATATAACTTCGAAAAAGAAAAATTCACCACACAGTATGCGAAATGCTATAAATAGACACAACGAATATTCCTATATGAAAAAACGTTGCGCATACCTATTTAGATTTATGTTTTCAATTTCTATGATATGACAAATTTATAATTATGAAAAGCCTTCTGAATTAAAAATCTGTATTACCGGTAAAAACCCCAGATTTCATAATAAAATAAACATTAAATAGGCGATTTTTCCAACTTATGTATGTGCGTTATGTGAGCAATTGCTTATTAAACAAAGGATAACAATAAAACGGTGGCTAAGCGGCCACGTTTCCACTTTTGTGGTGGCTGAGGTCGTAAGCGGGAAACGGTTAAGTACAATCCGAATACGAACCTATACGTTCGAATCCTAAAACTCATAAAACTGAAATTTTATTTAATTTTTTATTTTATTAATTGGAATCTGGAAGCATATCATAATTCAATTACTTTATTGGCATATTTAACTTCCTGAGATAATTAAAATATTTCAGGAAAATATGTTCATATGTTTAGGTTTATTGAATATTTCCTTATTATACGTATTTACACAAATGTGATAATCACACATACATTCTTAAATACACGTACGCTGATGCTTGCTTCTTCTTGCCCCGCACAAGCAATGACTTTTGTCCACACTTTTTGCTTTTTGCGAGTTGAACGATCGCAGGCAAGGAGGGACTGGGGCGCACTGCCACATAATTATTTCAGATATATATTTTATTTATCGAATTTAGTTTAAGAACGATTATAGGTATGAATTTATGTGTATTTATATATATACATATATAATATATATTATATTAGGAAAATAATTCATAAATGCATCAGTTTTTTTCAATACAAATTAAGCAACATAATAATATACTAAGAGCCCTCAGTTAGAACGCCTTTGTGTATGGTGGCAAGCCAACGAAATAACGGCGAGTTCGCGCAGACATTGTGTTGTTAAAAAAAGCCAAATGACGATTTTGTCGACAAACATACAAATATACATATGAGCTCGTATACATATTGACGCCGAATTTTGCGCATCGTGGCGGAGTTGACAAAATTTGTTTCAATCGACAATTTTACGACAATGTCGATCGGCTATGTTGTCTCGTTTGTCCTTTTTGCAGTGGTTTGCTATTGAAAGTTGACTTATGCTCTTTTGAAATATTGCTATTACCGATTGGGCTGCATTTTCATAGCGTCGTATTTAGATAAAATGGGCTAAATCGACAAACTATGAAATAATGATAATAAGAAAACATATAAAATACTATATCAGTGTGCTAGAAATATATAGAAGTAGTTAATATTCAATGAGTAATGGGCAATTTTATATAATTTATAATTTCATGCCAATATGCTAATAATGTCAAAAATTTAAAATATTTTTAAACTCGCTAATAGGTCAGTTTGCCAATTCACTCCTTCGAAGGAACATCAGACAAATTCTTCAATTTCGATTTTAGCATAGGTGTGGAGGAAGCAGCTTGTGGGCAACCATACAATGCAGGGGAATGTGTAGGATCATTGTAAAATTGAAACTTCTTCAATTTCTGAATACTCAATCATATTTCATGTCATTCATTTGTATTTTAAAATTTCGCATATGCGCGGAATTCTATATGAAAACCACAATGTGGTTGTACCAGGACGCCAGAAAAAAAGCGCGGCGCAGAGTTATGAACGTAGCGCAATTTGCTTTGAAGCAGACGCACTTCCTTAATGAAATCGAATTGTTGTTCGTTGTAATAGAAATACTTAAAAATATGCCGCGAGTTCGCTGAAAAAAATATATTGGCCGATGACGGCTCTACGTTTTTTGTCACTTGTCGCGAATGTTTGAATTTTGCGAAAGCGACATATTGAGGGACATACAATTTACATATGTGTACATATATGCCAATATATTTGAACATGCGAATGAAAGAAGGCAATTTCAAGAATATTCACATGTGAACATATGGACATTTGAAGCAAGTAAATCAATAATAGGTGTTTGAGTTCAACAGGTTAGACAAATACGTTAATCAGAGAACTTAAACAAATGAGAAGGTGCAGGTGTTCGACAGCGAACAATTTGAGGAATTATCAAGAGTTCACCACACATGCAACGAAAACAAATAACATTCCGCTTTTATAAGCAGCGGTGATCTGTAAAATATCGCTCCTCTAACATAACAACCGACGAATATTGAAGCAGAGAACTTAAAATAAGTTCTCTGATTGAAGAGAATATAATAGTAAGCAAACTGGGAATATTGATATGCATTTGGAATAATATTCCTTTTATTGAACTATGTACTTATATTTTTAAAATTATTTTTGTTAATTCATTTTACTTTATTATGAGAAATAATTCAAAGATACTTTTAATTATTACTAATAAAGATTTTGATATTTGCTTAAAAGACATTCATTATTGTACTTGACACCACCTTATGGCAGAGAAGTTGATGAGTAGAGGAGGAGCAAATGTACAGTAGCTAAAATGTTAATTGCTAAGAAGAAACATCGAAAACAGCGCAAGTTCGAAAATAAATGTCACCACAGCTGTCAATTTTACGCAATGAACTACACACTCTATAGCAAAAATGTATATACATACATATCACAGATGTTCTTGTATGCGCATAAACAAATTGAAATAATAAAAAACGAAAGAAATGACTTCTGACAGAAAATTTAATAATCAGGGATAATAATATAAAATAGAATTCAAAATATCAAATTCATAAAAAAGGGTTATAGAAATAAAAAAGGGACTAATAATAATGATATGGATTTGAACTAGGCAAAATAGTTCACGTTGCAATAAAGAAGTATGCTACTACAGCAGCACCACAGACAAATCAAACTCTTCATGTCTAATCTGTGAACTCAAACCTATTTTGTTTACTTGCTTCACATGTTCATTTCTTCCTTTCATTCGCATGTCAAATATATTTGCATATATGTACACATATGTACATATGTATGTCCCTCAATATGTCTTTCGCAAAAAATCAAACATTCGCCAAGTGACAAAAAACGTAGACGCACCATCATCGGCAAATAATATTCAAGCGAACTCGCGGCTATTTTCTAAGTATTTCATATTACAACGACAACAAATTCATTCATAAGGAACGTGCGTCTGCTTCAAAGCAAAGTCGCTCGTTCTAACTCTGCGCCGCGCTATTTTTCTGTGCGCCTGGTAACCACATTTGGTTTCATATAGAATCCTACGCAATGCGAAATTTTAAATATGAAATGAGTAAAAGAGAAAAAATTAAAACAGAAAAATTTACAACTGATCCTACCATCCCCTCGCATTTGTATGTTGCCACAAGCTGCTTCCTCACAACATTTGCTAAAATCAGAAATTGAAGAATTTTGATGTTCACTTCAGAAAGGAGAATTGGCAACATGACTATTAGCGAGTTTAAATAATATTTAATTTTTGCATATTATGCACTATATGGCATTAAATTATAAAATTTATATAAATTGCATTCATATGAAATCATTAACTACTTCTATATATTCTAGGACATCATATAGTACTTTTATATGTTTTATTATCATTTTTCATAGTTTTGTCGATTAGCCCATTTTATCTAAATACGACGCTATGAAATGCAGCCAATGGTAATGCAATATTTCAAAAGAGCATAAGTCAACTTTCAATAGCAAACCACTGCAAAAGGACAAACGAGACAACATAGCCGATCGACATTGTCGAAAATTGTCATTGAAACAAATTTTGTCAACTCCGCACGATGCGCAAAATGGCGTCAATGTATG